TCTGGGCTGTGACACCTGGGAAYGCACCTGTCGGCTTTGATACCAGCCTCGTGCAGTACAGCTGCCTCCGCTTCTTAGGCCAGAAACCTGAATCGGCTCTGCCAGGAGAGGCAACTTCTCAGACACCACCTTCCCCACGGCCGCCGGAGGGAGGGGGGGGCTGCTGGTCCTGGGAGCRCACTGGCCCTCTTCACTTTAAACAATACTCTATGCTGTGCTATTAATAGATCAGACTAACTGAGCACTACAATTTGAATTTTTCAGAAAAGGCTATGATGCTAAAACCAAAGCTCAATATATATCTTCAGTTTTATGAGACCAGCTAATTATTTGTACATCCATAATTTCTAAGATAATTTTTTAAGGTGCTATTTAATCATCCTTGCTGACATTTATTGTCATTTAAGCCCAAAGCTCATGGATTTTACCCTTGTTTAACAATTACCTCTGCAACCTCCCTGTGACRTCCACACCACCAAGAAAAACATTTTAACGACCTCCAACGAAAGAGTGGTCTAATTCCTTCAAAATTACCATGGGGAGCAAATTCCAAATTACAAAGAGGAGGAGGAGGAGGAGCAGGGGGAGAGAAATAGAAATCTCCTAGGAGATTGAAACAGTGCTACTCTGCTATGGACATACCTAAAGACAGAGCAGATCMGAAAAAGTCATTCAAATTCCACTCCAGAATCTCAGCCTTCTCCTGAGGGTCTCTTGGCCRCTCTGCACAGAAGTGGGGGGACACCCTGCCCTTCCTGCCTCTCCCTGGGAACCATCCAACAGTGTGAGGCTAAATGCCTTTCTGAATTGCAGAGCTGGCTGAGGAAGGTATTCTGGACTCTGAAACCRTTTCTAATGGTTAACTGGCACAGGCAGCAAGGGGAGAGTGAGTAGATGGCTCTCACTCCGTCGTGATTCTCTGCCAGGCACTGATGTGCGTTTCTCAGGGCTCAGCATGACGTCATATGTCCAGGGAGCCTGTGCATCTGGCCAGCTCTCCTGCAGCTGGGGTGTCAGAGGGAGTCCCACACAGGAGGAATGACGAAGTGCAGACGGCTTGCTGGGGCCCTCCATAGGTGGCTCTCCACAGCCTCCTCGGGTGGCTCTCTGGCTCAGACAGAGCCCCGTCAGGGAACGAGGACAAATGCCCCCTCTCCCCTCACCACTTGTCAGCCAGTTTTACAACCTCGTCACCTCTAGGGTGTGTTCCACAGGCTGGATGAAAACAGAAGAGGTACTGGGTGGCATTTCCTTCCCACAAACACGCCTGGGGCTTAGCGCCMGGCTGACCTGGTGTCCTCGGAAGCATTCCATTTCTCAGCCGCCACGATGTCAGCCCAGAACGAGAAACACTGCATGTTCACTCTCGTGGGTTCCAAGTCCTCTTCCCTCCTGGGACTGCATTGTTCCTGGACAGCTCTGAGCCGAGGACGGTCCTCTCTGAGCCACACCAGCCCTGCTCACGTGGAACCTTCAGGGGCCAAGGCCTCCTCAGGAGTGTTGGGTGGGAGATTGAATGGGAAGCTCTGCTGCCAGTCTCCTCCCGGGATCTGACCTGAGGGGGCTGCCTGGACCCCCCCCCCCCGGCCTGCTGAGCCAGCTGGCACTTGACTGGCATGGAGAGCCTTCGAGAGGGCCTCCCCTACCATGGACGAACACAAACAAGATTCCCTGAGATGCAAGAGGCTAGTCAGAGCTCCTGCCAGCCCGTCCTGCTACCTGCCACCGGACAGTGCTCCAGGGACTCCCTGGTGTCCTGGTGTTCCACTTCCAGGGACMTGTCCCTTCCCCTATCCTCTGCCAACTCACATGGGGTGACTCACCCTGATCCTCAAGTATGAGACATTTTTCTGCCCACCAGCAGCTACAGTGACCATCTGAGGGCAGCTCTGGGTGGACAGGCAGACTGCAGCCTGCTGGCAGCCAGGCCAGACCTTTAGAGCCACACAGGTCAGATTCTTGGCCTGAGCTTCCATTGCCAAGATGAAGGCCGAGAGCCCTCAGTTGGGCAGTAACGGGCAGCTGTGTCTCTGGCTGGAGCCGTCGATGGGGGCCCTGCTCATTCCAGATGCCTCCCCAGTTCTGGTGGGCTGTCAGCCATCCTACTGGGACCTCCTGTGCGCTTACTTGTCGAAGGGCCACCCTGGAGCATGCTCCTCAGGATGAGGGTAGCCTTCTGCAGCCAGGGCTCTTCCAGATGGACAGCAGGAAAGAAGGCCAGTGATGGAGCCACACCTGCCTGTCCCCCTGAGCCTCAGCACCTGGCTGGGYCAAGCCTCACATCAGCCAAGCCCAGGAGAGACTCACAGTGGAGAGTTGGAGTGACATATAGAGTGACAGAACAGCATCAGCCCTGGTGGCAGGAGCTCTGCTCCTGGTGGCAGATGGCGGCGTGGGGAAGAGGCAGGGTACGCCATGCCAACACGAATGAAACTGTCATTTCCACACACCTGGCCACAGCAGGAGAACCGGACTCTGGCTGCCCCTCACCCCACATAGCAAGGCCCCTGCACCTGGCAGGGGAAGTGCAGACCTGGCCTCAGGAAGGTGGGCTCTTCCTGGAGCTGAAGGGCTGCTCAGCCAAGCCAGAGGCTCGGGTTCGGGCTTCCTGAGATAGAGGGAACAAGTGAAGGGCCCTGGAGAGGCACTGGCAGCTTGACGGTCACCTCTGTGACACTGCCCAGGCCCAGCAAGTGGCCTGGTTCTGATTCACACAGTGCACTCCACAGATCGAAGCTCCTCCTGGCACGTGTGGGTGTCTAGCTCTTCTCCCGGAGCAGGAGGACACGTCCACTGCCCGCTGGGCTCTGTTGGAGAGTCCCTTTCTCCATCAGAACCGCCGGTCAGAGAGAACACATCGCCCGTGAGAAGACCAGCAGTCTGCGGGTCTGGCCTCCACAGCTCCTCCTGTTTCCTCCAGGGCACCCCCAGGCACGTGGCCCTGTCCCAGCCACTCTGCTAACCTGGGAGTTCTCAGTACCAGCACCAAGTGCTCGTTCACTCCACCACTGGAGGTACTTGTGCTTGGTTGCTCCCCTCTCAGAAGTCTTTCCCAGGGTCAGGGTCTTCCCTCCCAGTGTGTCCAGCCCCCACTCTACTCCTGACCCCAAACAGCTGCTGACACAGAACTGGGYGCCTTCTTGTCATGATCCTGGGACACCCAAGGCAAGAAGGCTCACACAGGGATCTCTGGTTCACAGACTGAGGGCCCCAGGAGGGGGCTGGGCCAGATCAGGGGCCCTGCTGACTTCCGGGGTCCTGCTTGGCATCCTGCCGTGTAGCACCACACCATAGATGAGGGAAAACCGCAGTYTTCACCGTTGGAATGTCCCAGAGTGCAAGGTCACTCCTGTAGTTACCATCCCCCGGGGAGCTCTGCCAGAACTGTGACAGGTCCCGAGGGTGTCAGTAAGCTGCCCCCCCCAGTGTGATGGGCTCACATTGGCAGAGCTTGGTATCCAAGATCCCACACAGCATGTGTGTCGTGTGTGAGGGGATCCACTCGGTCCGTGTGCCCGGTCCGTCCCCCAGAGCTCCTACGACTGCCGGGCTGCTAAGGGAGAGGAGGGTCCTTCGCAGCTCCCAACAGGCCCCCTGACCACACCCGAGTTTTGCTAACTTGAAGGCCTGGAGAGGACAGGTTGGGGGCTGGTGTCCAGAGATCAGCCCTGGGATCAAGCCCCTCCCCAGTCTCCCAGGGGAGTCAGAGGGGCTGAGGCTGAGTAGCCACTTGGTTAGTGACTTTTCAAATCATGCCTATTAAGGACACTCCACCCATTTGGGGATCTGGGGGTCCTCCTGGGCTGTGCACATGTTGAGGTGCCTGTGTGCAGGGCGGTGACACCAGCTTTAGGTCCCTGCCTGTGCATCTCTTCCACCTGGCTGCGCATGTCCCTGGTGGTTAGCCGTGATTGTCACCATGGCGCTCTCCTGAGCTCTGCCAGCCACTCTAGAGAATCATCATCAAAGCCGAGRCTTGTGGGGGGAGCCCCTGAAGCTGTGGTCAGCTGAATGGAAGTGTAGGTGGCCTGCCAGGGCCACTTGCAGCCAGCATCTGCTGTCAGTGGCCTGTGAGAGCCCTGAGCCGTGGGTTTGAGGCCACCTCCATACTCCTTGTGGTACACTCAGATTGAACGCAGACACCAGGGCACTGAGGACCCGGGGTCTTGGGAAGCTGCTCCCCAGGGTGCTCCTGGCACAGGGCAGTTTCCGCTGAGGGCAGAGAGCCAAGGCCACCGTGCTGCAGAGCTGACCACGGCCACCAACAAGGAGGGGGTGTGGACTCTCCAGGCAGGCAGAGTGACCTTGGCCCAGCCACAGGCAGAGAGGCCGGTCACAGGGGCACTCCCGCGGTGGCCAGCAGGTCTCCTCTCTGAGCCTGGATGGCATGGTAAACCGACACAGGCTGGGGCCATTTCTGGTCTCTCCCTGATCTGTTCCTCTCAGCTGTACCCTACACTCTCATCTTCAGGTTTTAAAACTTAATTTTTTCTATAATAACCTTTTTATCCTGGTTCCAAATTACTCCATTACAAAAGGGCACTTTTAAAAACCAAAGACTGTGGCTCCCCGGTGGAGGGTATTTTTGAGTATCGCACACTCAAAGATCAGGAATCCTCACAGGCCACGGAGRGAGCCTGGTGCCTCGTTAATTAACAGCAGCTCGTGTTCTTTTCCTTGGAGGAGAGGGAGAAAACCCTCTGAAGCTTCAGCAAGCTGCACCCACGTCAGGCTGCTGCTCTCCCTGATCGATATGCAGCAGCATTACTGTTTTATACACATTCACAAACACGTCAGAGCAGGAGAACTTATCGCTTAAGTGCCGTTTTTCTTTCTGCAGGATGTGACAGTGGTGTAGATCATACCTGCCATGAGTTGCAGATTCATACATTAAAACACAATATACCTGGGAGGCTCTTTTTTTCTCTTTGGCTGCACCAACCAAAGCCAGGGCGACAGGATAGTATTTCTCATTGCTCTGGGGTTTGGGGGCATCTTACCAGGGGGATCCAGGCACCGGGGTGGAGGCCACAGGTCTGTTGCCTTTTGGGGTGCTGTCCTCCCCACTCTCCAGCATGGATGGAGGCTCCTTCAACAGAAAGAGAAGGAGAGAGCACTGTCTRTCATTGTAAACACTCACCCTCAGTTTCAGCATCCGAGTGAAGAACTACAACGTCTCCTGCAGAGAGTCTGCCCTCAGTAGCCACTGGATAATGACCTTCTCAGTGCAGCTAGAGCAGAAAATCAGGGCTGGGCAGTGGCACCAAGGACAGAGTTAAGAACACAGTTGACCGTAAACAATAACTCAGCACAGGTGCTACTAACTACCCTGAGATGCCATTCCAGAATCAATCAGAGACATGCAGAGAGCCCCGAGGAGGCTTCCAATCCCCAACGTCTGTGGCACAGAAATCCCAAAGGATTCATCTCTGGGAATGAGCTGTCCCAGGGTCTGGAGTCACCATGTCACCAAAAGCCTGTATCAGGTGGCAGTATCTCCAGCTACTAGGACCCTAGACACAGATGGACCTGGCAGTTCAGGTCTGCTATGGCAGGAAGAGAACAAGCCCCCGTTCTCAGATGACAGCTGGGCCCTTGCAGCATTAGGTGGCTCCTGGGCAACACCTGCCCCTGGGGTGTGTCTGCTGGGGCGGGACCCCAGGGGTACTGATGGCCCACCAGGTGTGAAAAGCCTCACTCTGTCTCTACCCCACTTGGAAAGCAAGCAATGTTTGAGCATTACACCACCTGGAAGACAAAGAAAATTTACTTCCTAAAATTAAAAAAGAAAAATACAACTATGATTGGGAAAATCTGGAGAGGAAAACGGTTGTTTGAAATAAGGAAATGTGACAGTCCTAACTGCAACAGGAATGTAGTGCCAAGGCACAGACGCTGTGCCTCTCTGTGTGGRAGCTCCAGACGTGAGCTCTCTGTTCAGACAGCTACTGCACCGTCTCCACCTGGAGCTGAGAAGCACAAGGAGATAGTAAGGAAAAAGAAGCCCCCTGCAGCTTCGGATTGACTGACAAACAAACCACAGAGTCAAGTCCATTCTAGGGGTGAGGAACTTTTGGCCTCCCCAGAGATTTGCATAGCTTTGGCCTCTGATCTAGACCTACTGTGACCCAGGTGGTGTCCTCTCTGCCGGCTTAACAGGTACCTTGCTTGCATCACCCAAGCCACACTTCAGTTCTGAGCTCAGAGTTTTAACAAATTGGTTGCCATCTTCACATTTGGAATCCGTGTTTCTGACAGCAGTGACATGGCTACTTGGGAGAGCACAGATGAGACGGCCGACCACCTGGCCAACAAAACCAGATGGACTCCGTGCTCATGCTGCTAGGAAAGAAGATCTAAATTACAGAAGCCTCAAAGCATCACATTTCAACAAGAAGTAAAAGATCCCCAAAGAGCCGGGAGAGCCAACAGCAAAACATGCCCACAGAGGTAAACCTGTTGCTGACCACGTTAGCAAGAACAGCCYGTCCAGGAGACCCACCACGAGGGCAGGGCAAGAAGGGCCGAGGTGGATGCACAGCCACAGGACCTCTGCCAGGCTCTGGGGGGTCTGGGAACCCAGAGGAGCCTCACTCAGGCCCACTCCTCCCRGTGTCCCTCTGCGCTCGGCTGCATCGTGATTGATAAGTGCACTGGACAAATGGTTTGTCACTTAGGCAACCATCCTTAAGATCATTGTGGGTTTTTTTTTTTTCCTCAGAACTTTGTGTAGTAGAAAATATCTTTTTTTCCTATGAGAAAATAAGGTCAGGATAAATAATTAGCTTAACAAGGAGTATTCAGAAACACTTGTCTCAAAAAATATATAYGAAGACCAGAGTTTATATTACTAATCCAATTAGGAAAACTGGAGGGGATTTTCATTATGAAGTTAATTGAACAATAGAACTCAACGAGGAGTCTCTGAGTACTAGATTACCTCCACTAATTATTCAAGTAAATATGGAAGGGTGTAATTTGTGTTGGAGAAGAACACTTAAATTGGGCGATGCTGGGATTCTCTTCACTAATTACCAAGGTCTTCTCCACGAGGCGCACGCTGGTTATGATTTCCTGTTGGTGATAAAAATGGCTAATCATGGCATAAAACTCCTGCTCTGCACTGAAGTAATGAAAGTGAGTCAGACTCAGGAACTGGAGATAGAGCGGGTATTTATGGGCGGCACCAGCAAGGCCATCTTGGTAATTAATATGGAACTCTGGCTCCAATGCTAGTCCCTTATAGAAGAGCCACGGGTTGGGGGCAAACACGTAACTCACGCTAACATCTGTGGTGAATGTTCCCCCCTTAACCACACTGACAATGGTGAGCAGGGGTGGGCACAGGCTGGGGCCAACAGGGAGYTGGCACAGAGACCTGGAGGAAGGAAAGCTCCCAGGGAGCTGTGAGGCAGAAAGACTGACAACAAAGCAAGAGAGAAGGTGAGCGAGATACTAAGTTGGACTGGAGGCTCCAGGACGTCAGACAGATGAGGAAAGACACAGTGCCATTTGGTATTTTCAAATGCAGGGACAAAAGTGAGTCCCTTGGGTCATCCAGAGGAAAGGCCAGGTGACTGGGAGCCTTAAACACACCCAAGGCACCATCCTGGTGAGTCGTTCAAGGGCCACTTGGCAAGCAGGCAAGGAGAAAGACCTACAATCAGAACGATCTCACAACGATCCATGTGCCTCGGGCTCTTTTTTCTCTGATGCTAAAATCTAACTGTGACCAGCACCCRGGCTGCAGCAGCGACCACCTCGCGCATCCCCCCTCATTCCGGAAATGGACAGGGTGAGAGCAGGGGGCGAGTCCCTCCCATCAGGCTGTGCTGCCAGGAGCCGGGAGCCCAGCTGGAGAGACAGAGGCCCCTTCCCAGACTCTCCCCTTGAACTGCTGGGCTGCATCAGCTGCTGCTCACAGAACCAGTCCACAAGTGCCTCCTGGGAAACAGGTGGGTGTGACCTCTGACCCTGGGCTGGCTGCCTCTGACACACACACACACACACACACACACACAGCCCGACCCACCTTGTCCTCCTCGACTCCGGCCGGGCTCTTGCTCTCTGTGCTGTGCAGCATCAGGGCTGGGGGGCAGGGCGCCCGGCTGAGCTCTTTGCTTCTATCTGTGGGACCAAAGCAACCGTCATCAACACTCCAACTGCCACGGTGGTTCTGGAACTCCAGCCACCAAAGATCAAAGGGGCCCTGAGAGCTCAGTCTGTGGACAGGCTGCAGTCTGCTGCCGTTGGGCAGGCCTGGGTTCCCACTGTGCCCCGAGACGAGGCTCTGTCCTGACCCTGCGTGTGCAGAGACCACAGGCCAGGCCTTCACGGCTGGCCACTTTCTGCCACAGCCGGGCATGCACCTTGACACCCAGGCCCACCCCCAGCAGCCCTCTCCTGTGCGTGTCTCTGCTGGTGCTGAGCGGGATCCACGGCCTCCCACTTTCCTCCCACTGGAAAGCTTGGTGAGCAAGCCCTAGGCAGAGGCCCTGGAGTCAGCTTGTCCCCACAGGAACCACCGAGGACAGGGGCAGTTGTTCTGGCGATTCAGCAGGCAAGGGGAGGCTGTGAGGTCACTCTCAGCAAATGGCAGCCACTGCCCATGGCTCACAGGCTCAGTGGGCCCAGAGCAAAGGTGCCATGCCAGGGCGTGTGGGCCAATCAGGCTGCTGTCTTGAATTCCCAGAGGTGCCCATGTCCTGCGCAGCCRGGAGCTTCCTCAAAGCTGCCTCAAGACTCCAGGACCATCCTAATCACTGCTGACCACATGGGTGGCCAGGCAATGTGAGCTGAGGATGGTCAGGACCCAGGCCCCACACTGAGGCAGGAGAACGTGAGATGGGGCTGCTCCAGGTAGCGTAGCCATCATGAGCCACACGTGGCCTTGCCCTGCCAGGGGCACAGGAGAGCTCYGTTTGCTCATCACCAGGTGGGCACTGACGCCTTTCCATGAGCTGGACGCACCACACGGTGAAAACTAGCTGGTTGCTGTGAGGGAAGCGGGGAGGGAAGCCGAGACCTCCAAGTATCAAAAAAAAAAAAATGCAAACTTTCACCTCCCCCAATTCCTACCCTACTCTCAAAATTGTGCAGACAGCCAGCACTTCGTATCAAGAGCCTGACGGATCATACTAAGATTAAAAAGGAAAACCAGGCCACCACCTGCCCACATCGCCAAGAGGAACGTTCCTGAGGGAAGGCCCTGGCAGGCGTCCCTGGACTCAAAGGTCAGCCCACTTGGGACAGCAAACTGCTTAGCCTGGAGTCCCGGCTTTGTAGCCCAGAGGGGGCACTCCACAGAAGAGCATCGGGGGACAGAGTCGCCTCACGTGTGTGTGCACACACRYACACACATGCACACACACGCACACACACGCACAGGCACAGAAAAGCAAACAGGCACGCGGACTGGTGCCCATGGCCTCCCTGGAGCCACACATCTGCATGGAGCGGGGGCGAGCAGGGGGAGCAGCTGCAGAGTTGGAGGCCAAATCCTCCCTCGTCTTCCAGGCTTCCCACCAGCCAGCTGCCTACCCCGCRGCCCCACTGCCTGCTGCACACAGGTGTGCAGGTGCCACGAAGCCCAAGGCCTCAGGGGCTGCAGCCATGTCCACAGTGGGCCTCTGCACCTGGAGGGTGCGGCTGGAGAGCTGGGCGGGAAGCCCTCACTGAGTGGTGCTCAGGCAGCGGTTGTGCTCTGACCCGCAGCGGCAGCCCAGGCAACTCTGGGCCAGGACCCAGCGGCCCTGCGTCCAGACCGGGCAGAAGCACATGCCCTTGACTCCTCACCCCAGCTGGGAATGGATGGATGAGGCCACAGGACACCATGGACACAGCAAGCCCTGTCCACAGCCGTCACCCTGAAGTGTGCGCTGTCCTACAGGCTCTCCATGGCAGAGGGCTGGTTCTTGCTATTAAAGGAGCAGCGGCCTCAGCCCCAGCCGTGGAGAGTAAGCAGAGCAGAGTCCCTGGTGCCATGGCCTCCCTGCCTCCAGCACTACAACTCATCCAGGCTGAGCCTCTGCTGGCACGTCTCCTGCCACACAGAGGCCAGCTCTGCTGACACAGGGCTCTAGGGCAGCTGTGACCACCAACAGGAGACACCCAGGCCTGCCAATGCCAGAGAAGGTCCCATTTCAAGAATGGACTTGGGGTGCAGTGGTAGAGCACTTGCCAGGCCAAAAAAAGAAAAGATTGTCCTTGGGAGGAACTGTCACCTTTCCATGTTTCCATGGAAGGGGGTGGAAGCCCAAGCCTGAGTAAAGAAAGTAAGTCCAAGAGCAGTGGAAAGATTTCATCCTCACTCAGGACCACAGGCAGAGCCACGGGGTTGCAGCGAGATTTCCAGAAATCTGCAGAGCTGCTCCCCAAAGCCCACTCCTTGTCCAGGTGCACTTGACCTTGACCCTGGGGCACTGAGTCCACGCTGGGCAGTTCTGTCCCCAGCATCATTCCTGTCTTTCTCCACAAAACAGATCGGCAGTCACCAAGGTCTCACCGCAGACAGGTGCTGAGAGACAGAAGCCACCAAGGTCTCACCGCAGACAGGTGCTGAGAGACAGAAGCCACCAAGGTCTCACCGCAGACAGGTGCTGAGAGACAGAAGCCTCTAGGAGTGGTCCTTCGACACATGACTCCAGGGGAAAGTGCTGCAGAAACCCAAGGGCCATTCGAAGGAACAGAGGCCAAGAGACCAGCGCGGCTGGGTCAGGCAGAGACTGCGGAGAGCTGCCTCCTGGGCACACACGTGCACATCCTCAAATCCCCATGCKACACCGGGGGACACCTGTCCTCAGCTCCCGCAGGTCCCAGCCACCCCATGCACATGTCTCCACCTGGCGGCCTCCTTTCTTTGCTTGAGGGACTTAACGGTCCTGAGTCCTGCCACTCCTTGCCCACAACAGTCCCTTCCTTGAGAAGAGGCAAAAAGCAGGTGTGAGGCCATTCAGTGGTGTCACATAGATCAGGCCACCTTGCCACCCTCGCCCATCTCACTCCCCACAGGGCACGTGGGAGCTCAGCCAGTGCCAACACTGGGCCAGGGCACAGCCTCTGCCCAGGGGGCCTCTGAAGGGTGGACATGTCCACCTTAGCTCTTCTYCCACCTGCAGCCCAGGGAGGGGGATGGGGAGAGGGCACTGTGGGTGGCCACAGGTGAAGTGAAGTCTGGGGGTGGCAGGTTGCTGTCCAGGGAACTGGGATAAGTGTTGGGGGGGGTGTCTGGAGAAGCCACAGGGCAGCTTTTGTGACAGAGAGGGGGCTCCCCAGCACTGCCACCCTGAAAACTGTGTCAACGGAGCATCAGAACTGGCCAGGCAGGGCCCTGGGATCCTGCCCCTGTGCCTCCATCCTGTGGCTTAGGGTGAGGAGGAGGGGACTAAAAGTGAGCTAAGCCCTTCTGCTGCCMGCTGCAGTGACCTCGACACACCTGGGCAGGCCCCGCAAGGAGGCGGAAAGCTGAACTCTCAATGGAGTCAGGAGTTCCGATGATGTCCCCGGACGCCTCAGACTGAACTGCTGCTCCGAAACCTCTTTTATGACTGAAAACGAGTGGATGGATTTTTACTGCTCAAGAATGAGCCGAAAGTCATTTGGTTTGAATTTCACCCAAAGTGGGGCAAGGAGTAAATYCCACAGAGTGGGACTGGCCAGGCCCACGGGGCAGGATGTGCCTCATCCAGGATTCTGTGCACACACCCTGTTGTCACCCAGTGTCACCTGCAGAGCACAGAGCCATGTTAATAGGCAGATGCACTAGTCAGMGCAGCCTGGGGGCTGACAGTGGGCCCCGCCTGCAAGCCTGCTCTAAGGAGAGAGGGCCGGTGGCTTATCCCCCATTATCTTCAGGAAACACACTGAAGTCTTTCTTTTATTGAAAACAGTTGATCTTTGTGAAAATCAGATCTTAAAACCCAGCTTTGAGATAAGCGGATTGATGCTGCTCCCYGTGAGTGCTTCTCAGAGAGGGTGACGCTGATGATCGTCTCGAAGCCCCTAATCACAGCCGCTCGCCCCAGAACACCAATGACAAATGCTGCCCCGTGTCCCCCGTCGCTCCTTAATGGCCGGCACTTTTTAACAGCCATTGATTGTGCAGGCCCCACCTGGGGAGGCGGGGAAGGCCCCGCCGCGCACACTCTAATTGGGTCTGTTCCTGGCTGTTTCACCGTGGAAGCGCTTGCTGGACGGCTCTCTGCGGGCCACTTGGGGGTCCACTCTGGCCTGCTGAAGTGCTCTCGGCTTTGGGCCTGCCCCCAGACTCTGATGATGGGGTAGTGAAGGGCTCCCTGGAGTGGCGAGGAGAACTAGTTTATGGAGGAAACTCCACAAGTTGCAGGACTGTGGGCCCCAACGCACCTGGGGAGCACAGGATAGATCTCTGCCCTCGGAGCGAGGCGCAGTGGTAACACCTCCCTGCGGTTCACCATCGATCCAGCCCTGCTCTGCGGTCTCAGTGCTCCCCCTCGGCTGTCACTTTGATTTTCCTCCTGGCAGTGGTGAGTGACAAAGAGAGATGGGAAGGTCACATGGCAGTTGGGGACAGGAGCCTGAGCTACAATAGTCCAGGTGGCTGGTCTGTGTACTGCCCCTGTGATCCTGCACAGCCTGCACCRGGGAAGAGCTGAGGGAAACCGCGTGAGTGGTCAGCTCCTCGTGGGCTGCAGGAATCAAGAGGGGAGAGCCCAGAGCCCCTGRGTGCAGCGAGGCAAAACCTCTCCCCAAGGAGAGCACAGGGAAGCCTGGCTCCCTCCCAGTTCCCAGAGTGCAGCCGTCCACCCTCTCCATGACAGTGGGCAGCTGGCTGGCCTCCTGACCCCAGGTCAGGGCTCTGGTATTTGCATCCTGGTCATGAAGTTCCCTAGAGTCTCTGAGACAAAGGTCTCTGTCATCATCTGGTACTGGACTATGGATCAGAGATCGGGCTGGTGGGAGGGCTGTCAGGCGGCACGCATTGAGAAACCACAGCCTGACTTGAGCAAGCCATGCTTAGACCGAACAGAGAGCCAGCAGTGAATATTTCTTTAATTATTAAAATGAAAACCACTGCCGGCAACAGGAGTTGTCTCACTTGTCAGAAGACACAGAAATGTATCAGACCTCCCGATTCAAGAGGTGAGAAG